AAAAATCCAGGGGAAACGGCATCTCCCTGTTGTTTTTACCTTACACTGTTACACCACTAGCTTCATATGCCCGATACACTGTTCCGAATGACTCAAACCACTTTCTTCCATCCCTCCTTCCCGTTTGAACTCCCTGATTTTGCATAATATTTTGCGACAGATAAGAATAAAGTTACATGTGATTAAAAACGATTATTTAAAGTGATTATATTTTTTGCAGAAAACCAGTTGGAATCACCTAAATTATGGCCTTCGCAAGTGAGCTGTAGAAATCGGAAAAGACTGCATGTAAATTCAGAATCGTTCAAATTCTGGTTATCACCAGCGGCCAATTCAGCACCCATACCCAGACCTTCAGCCTGAAAACGACATGAATTTATATGCACTATGCGCAAGTTGAACTAGACATCGAGTAATTCATCAAAGAACTTAACCAGTTCGGACCTTTGTCCATAACTAAAAGCTTGCAGCATAAATAGCAAGCATATCAGTGATAGCAAAATCTAGTAGGTTTCGGATTGTCTTAATTGCTAAATTTAGTGTATGTAGCCTTATAAGTTTTCAAAACAGATGAAGAGAGCGATGGAGAAAAGGATGCTTGGAGTGCCCCCTCCTGACCATATAAACAGTAAGATTCTGCGTCAGATGAGCAACATGCAGGATGTCATCGAGATTGCTCAAAAAGCAAAATGCTATAGCAGAGCTTGTTGCTCGCCCTGCCGATAAGTAGCAAGTGATATTTGTGTGAAGAAAAACGACCATCCGCATGTCTTCTAAAGAAACTGTAGACGCGGAATACGCGATTGGCACTAACTACGGAAATGCAGTTCAGGATCAAAAAATAGCTGCGCCCGGTGAGTGAAAACATTCCAGTAACACCGCTAACACCGGATTCTTAGGTTGTCAAATTTTTGAAATCAAGAAAACGAACTTTAATTTGCCTTTCGAACATTTCAAGGTTTAGCACACTACATTTATTCATTAAACCAGCCAGAGAGGTGAAAAAGCGAACATCCTTTTTTAGCTGTAGATAATCGATAAGCATCTGTAAATACAGCATTTATAAAAATACATAAAGAAATGAGGTTACTCAGTACCTCAGAATCTTGTAGTAAAAAATATGCCGATCTTCTGCATTCTAATAAGATTAGATTTAAAAGCATTTAACACTGAAAACAGAGCGGTTGTACACCGTAGCATCATTCGTCATTAAAATATATCTTAATCTACCTAGGTTTTGTTTCGATTGCTTAGGTGATTTTGTTAAAGTCCCGTGCTCGCACTGGTCGTAAGACACAGAATAAAACGACAGTATTGGCCCTTTCAAACTGCCTTAAAATTACAGCCTCAGTCTTATTCTATCAAAAAATACTTAACCATTTCAGTGTATTAAGAATATCAAGATCGCCCGAACAATTACTGTGAAAATCCCAACTCGACATACCAGTGTAAATGAGCTCAATTTTAAAATTTTTCGTCAAAAACTTGATTTTTTTTACTGCAAAAATTGGATTTTTCTGCTTGTATTTTATTCATTTCATGACAGATCAATGACAAAGTGAAAAATCACCAAGGTTTTTTAATCCTTTAAACAGTTCATTCATTGTGGCAGACAGAGGCAATCACAAGTAACCAGACTGGTAGCACATGTTCACAGTGACTATCAAGTCACATAGTTGTTCGACACTATGCAAAATTCAATAAATTTAACCTTCTGGATATTGACATTTCCGCCGTTGAGCAAATGAATCCCTAACTGAAGCGCTTCGGCAACCATTTCACTTGGTTCTCCATTACTTGCCGACAAGTACATAAGGCACATTATGGCTGCACCTCGATCAGCTAGCACCGCTTGCTCGGCACGAAGAGCTTGAGAAATTTCCTCTTTTTGCTAAAAAC